CTTCTGGTTAGCAGTCAAGTGCCTTAATCACTATGCTACCCATAGGAGACATTTCTGGTCAACTGGGAAATCTTAATTTGGATATTAGATAAAATTATGGAACTACTGTTAATTTAAGAAAATACATTCTGAAGGGATACATGCTTCAAAATTTAAGGGTGAAATATTATTGTGTATGCAACTTATTTTCAAACAGTTCAGCCAAAAAAAAAAAAAGAGTGTACCATGCAGAAAAAGAAGAGAAGAAAAATACAAAGAGTAAAATGTTAATTGGTGAAAGAAATGGGTATTCGTTGTAGTTCTCTATTTTTCTATAGGTTTGAAATGATTTAAAATAAAAAGTTGAAGGATGGAAAGCTTTCATCTGAGAGAACTGTCTGAAGTTCATGATTACACAGCACAGGAAGCCCCTGGGTGACCTGGCTTCACTCACAGGTGCCCTTTAACGTTACACAAACTTGCCCCCACTTTGGAAAGATTGAACTCCAACTTTCAGCAAATTCTTCATCACAATCACCTTCATTTACTGCAAAGCAGTCTTTAACACTGCAAAGCTTCCAGCCTTTTCTTGAAGGCACTAAGGTAAAGCTAACTAAGAGCCATATGCACCTATACAGACTCACCCACCAATTCCATTTCAAGACACACTTAGGAAGGGATCTCGTTGCTAACCCAGGGACTGCCTATAGTGAGGGTACCGATGTAATGACAAAGCTAGACGTATTATCAGGTGGACAGGATGAGAAAAACAAAGGATAAAAGGTTAACCACTGAGCATGAGTTAGTCACAGCTGATTCTAGGTGACGGGAACAGCGTTTCCTTCTCAGTGAGGATGTTCAGAGCGCAGAGACAGTCTCGTCCCCCACCCCGACCTTTCTCCAGACTGCTGCGACAAAGCAGGCCGGCCTCCCTGGGCTGCTCCTTGCACCTCCAGCACTGCCCAGAGGGGCCAAGCTCACCCCCAGCTCCTCTCAGCTGTGGTCCTGCGCCTTCCCCGAGCCCAGAAACCAGGCCCTGGTCCTAGTCTCCCCTGTGGCTCAGGCAACCACTAGACCCTGAAGTGGCTCCACTGCCTATGGCGTTCTGTTTACACATTTGGCCTTTTCTCCCACCTCATTCTGACAAATGCTATTACAATTTCCTTAAGGCCCCACTGTCAAATTCTTACAGGACGCGTGGCCACTCAGCTACACTGACACATCTATGTGGCCCTGATGTGCATTTTGGTGAATGAGGGTGGCAGTGACAACGTGACCTCTAGTTCATTTCCAACTTAAAGCTAAGTCTTCTCCCAGGACTGTATTTTCCGCCCTTCTCATGGGCTGAGTGCGGACGTGAAGACAACCCAGTTTCAACCATGCAGACAAGCACAACGGAACGTCTCTGAATGACCCGGAGGCAGCGATGCCCAGGCAGCTTGGATCTGAGAGAACAAGAAACTTCCTTCTTCCTTATGCCTCCAGGCTTCTTTGTTGCCGCAGCTTGACCTCTGACCCCATGAATACCATTCAAAATTAATTTTTATCAGGGAGTAAGAAACTATCTCAAGCTCCGCTGCCCTACATTTATTTGCAAAGTTGCCAAGCAAACAAAAAGAACCCAGCTTTGTGAAGAAGTAGACTGGTAAGTGTTTACCTGCCAGAGTCCTGCCGAGGCCAGCCAGCTGGTCTTTGGTGAAGTTAAGCTGGGCTGCCATGCAGAGGGCTTGCTGCCAGCTGCCGCCAGCCAGAAACGCCTCCAGTGCTCTCTCGTAGGCACCACAGCGGGCAAGCACGAGGCCTGCTGCTTCGGGGTGCTGTCGCTGCAGCAGGTGTTCCCCATAAGCAACACTGATCTCCTGCAACAAGAGCAAACTGAGGGTTAATGGGGAAACTGAGAACCGCGTCACTAAGGTTCCCGTGCAAGCTGCACCTCACAGACCACACCTGAAACCCTGCTGGGTAACTCAAGACAACCCTGTGGTCAATCCGTTAGTTCACTCACTCTCTCATTCAAAATCTCACTGAGTGAGGATGTGCCACTCAGTCACTCGACGAAGAAGTACCGAATACTTACAGATGCCCCAGTCGGAGTATGTTGACAGCAACACATAAAACAAACAAGAGCCACCACCAAGTTTCTGCTCTTGTGGCAACAGACAATGGACTTACATCTGCAATGCAGTTTATGACCTAATGGCGGGAAGTGGCAAATGGACCAGCCGACTCCAGAAGGCTGTCAGGAAATGGACCTCTGAGGAGGTGATCTCTGACTAGAATGACTGGCAGGGGCACATGCCACGGGAGGAGCTTGAGGAGTACGCTCTAGGCAGAGTAAGGCTGCACTGAGGCTGGCAGGCAGGTAGGTCTGAGGTGTAACAAGAAGGCTGGCATGCTTTGATCACAGAGAACAAGGGAAAGAGGAGCACACTAGAGAAGAGAGGCAGCCATTACTGGCCAAACGCTGCCCTTCCCAGGCTCAGTGTCAAGCAGGGTCAGAGAGAGGCATAAACACGAAGGACCTGCCCTCACGGAACCCACAGTCAGCGAGGGGAGGGGAGACAAATCAGTAAGCTGGCAGTTTGCTCAGCTGCGTGATAAACATGATCACGGAGGTAAGTACAGGGTCCTCTGGGAGCTCAGGGTTTGGTACCTCATCCAGGAACAGCCTTCTGAGAAGCCTTGGAAGTTGTGACAGCCAAGAGGGGGCTAGAGAAGGGATGGCAGAGAGGGCGAGGCCCACCCTGCCCACATCTGTGAACTAACTACCAGGGGCTGGGAGAGGGCCGACGCTGACGCGAAAGCAGCAGGCAGGGTGCCGAGCTCAGGAGAAGCTAGTGAGCCGTCTGCAAATGAACTGACAATGGTGACGGCACCGAGACCAGGGCCAGCAGCTTGGGCTCCGTGGTCCGAGAGCCGGTATGTGGCCCGGGTCTGCCCCAGCAGTGCCGCAGAAGGCTGTGTCTTCACCTGTGCACACCACCCTCTCAGGCCGATGTGATGAGGTCACGTCACGCCTTTAGCTTACAAGCAAGGCGTCTGGCACACAGGGAGAACTCAGTAAATGCAAAACAAATGGAAAAGAAAACTGTGTCCCTTTCCCCCGAGATATATGGAAAGACGTGCCTTTCTGAAAACAGCCAGGCACACAGCGGCAATGCTGGGCTGGAGGCAGCAGTGGGCGGAAGCAGGGAACCCCACGTGGCAGCTGCTAGAAGGCTGCAGGTGAGGATTCAGGGACAACTCTGGTTTGGGGCGGGGCGATTTCTTTACAACAGGAGAGGCTCTTTCTTAAAAATAAAAAACTCAGGATGAGGCTACTTAATTTTGATACAAACTTTGAAACCCAAGACAGTGTTATGGATGTAGACTTCTCACCCCTTTCCAAGTACGTGCAGAGCAAAACCAGTCATATACACACACCTTGTACTGTGGCGAGCCTGACGGGTATAACTTCAGAGCTTCATTATACAAGTTTTTATCTTTTATTAAGTTTAAGCACTCTGGGAAGTACTCAGGTCCTGTGGGAGTAAGATTCATACAAACACAGTTAGACTTACTATTACTGGATGCACAATCGATTCCATTTACACCGATGGTGCCCACAGACAATCAGCAAGCAATCTCTTCCAGATCTACAGAATCAGAGTCTCTGGAGATGGGAGCCCAGGAATCTGGATCTTTAACAGCCATCAGTGAAGATTCTGATGGACGAGAAGCACTAATGGGATCAGTGTCCTACTTGATAGGAATTCTTTCTACACTCTCCCTGACAAACAACCATTTAGTCCAGTGTTTTCTCAATCTTCTTGAAAAGAATCCCCTGGGTAAGGGTCCTTATTAAAGACCCCCACACCTGAGTCCTCTCCTAGACCTACTAAATCAGATTCTCTGGGAAGCTGGAAGCCAAGTGCTTACCAAGCACCCTGGGGATTCTCCCCTGTCCTGGATTCAGTCTCAGGAAAGAGTCACAACAGCCGAAGGAAGCCCCAGGTCCCAGCACGGGACAGATCAAACAAGAGTGAAGCGGCTCTGCTCCACCAGTGCCAGTAAAACTGTCTTCGGGGCACTGGGCAGTGGCAAGTGCCACCCACTCCAGACAAGCTGTGGCTGTACTCAAATGTTTTGCAAACACCATGAGAAGAGCTACGTTACCAACCAGTTTTGATTATGAAACAATGAATTGATCTAATCATTCTTAATCAAAAAGGATGTGCTCGATTTCCTTAGCTAGAGAACTCCTCCAGTTCTTTACAAGTGCTTTGTGTCACACCAGGATTTTGAACCAGTTTTTCCAGTTTGGTCAAGGCCTATGAGGCCAAACTAGAATGGACCTGAATTTGTGAAATGTAAATGTACTTGTCCAGCAACTGGAATGGGAGAAATTATGGGTCAACATCCTGCTAGAAGCTTAATCTCCCTGTTAGAAAACAGAGGTAGCATATGTGTTGCACAGCAACCAAATCTCTTGATCAGCAGAGTTGGAAACAATGAACGACAGCCGACTGCACCGCTTTGAATGTGTGTCACTCTCCAGTCACGGCAATAATCCCGTCTCCCACATCAGGCTCCTGAAAGGGCTCACTGTGCCTCTTCTGGGTCTCCCATTCCAGAGCTTCAACTCCTAATTTTTCCCATTCTGGTTATCATTCCGATACACTCACATTTTAAAATTCAGGTCTGTTCCCAGTTCACTGTGTTGGCTGTGACTGAACAGCTTGAAGCCCGCTTTACACTCAGCTTTCCAGAGTACATGGTAAAGGAACGACCGTGTATTCTGAAGTGTGTATTCTCCAATGTGTATGCACACACACATTTGTTCTTGGAAGCAGAAACTGAAAACAGCTGATGTCTAAAATAATGTCATTTATACTCTGCCTAGTTCCAAAGATACAAAGTAAAATAAACATACTGACCCTCACCACACTTACCACATTTGCTGAGGTGGCCAATGGCTTTCTCATACCGTTTCAGGTATTTGTCTATAGTGAACCGCTGATAATTAGTTTCCATTTTCTTAAGTGTATTAAGAAATGGAAGATATTCTTTGGGATCCTAAGAAGATAAACAATAAGGTGAATTTATTATGTGTAACTGTGTTCACATACAAAAACAAAATACTTAACAGTGATATAAAAGCTATGTAACTTTAAGCTTACAGAGATTATATATTATATAAAACCAAACTACATAAAAGTTTTTTGGTACAAATGCTTCTAGAGATGAGTATTATTAGTTTTCACTTGGAATAATGATGCATTCTTTAAGTCTCTCAATAAGCACGTACTTCACAGTGTAGTTAGGTTTAAAAAGGTTCCCAGTCTACAAGATACTCAACAAACACAGCCCTGTTTCTCCTGAAAGTGCCCGGCATCGTACTTGATGCTATTTCCATGACTCTTCAAGCCTACCATCTGCAAAGCCCAAGGGTTAAAAATAGGCAAAATCATCCTGAGTTGAACAGAAAACTCTGAGGCACCGCCAACCAAGTATTTCTTGGAGCTGATCATCTTGAGCTCTGTGCCATGCCCTACAAGGAAATGCTTCTTCTTCCTCAAGAAAGAGGCTTCCTGTTTTTAATGAAATTTCACTGAGCATACAAAGTGAATATACGTTGAGAATAATATAGGAAAAAAGCCTAAGACAGCATACAGTTCATGGACAGCTCATGGACATGAAATGGGGGGAAATGTGGGCCAAAATGAGCAACAAACATTTCTTAAGAACTTGGTATGTACAGACCGAAACATGACCCTTAACCTCTAAGAACCCTGCCATCTAGTAGAGGAGCAGACTGGGACAGGCAAGGGTTAAGTACTGGATACAAGGGAAGCACAGAAGAGGTCCTGGGGGGTGGACAAAGGCAAAAATGGCCTACGAGGAAGATGATACTGACGGGCAGGGATTAGTCAGGTGAATGGGAAGGGCTGGAATGGTGGCGGCCCAGGGAAGGCAGAAGTAAAGCTGTCTGCAAAGGCACATGCTGGTGGTGAGTGGGGAGGAGGTAAGAGCCTACCCTCTGTGGGCAAAAATAAAAGGAAAATGCCAACAGATGAGAACACAGAAACACACAGAGCGCAGACCACAAAAAGGCTGGTTAAGGTTCTGGTTTCTGAATTTATGCTCAGAGCCAATGGGACCCAAGAAAGATTTTAAGCAGAGGAACAAAGTGTCGTATTTTCCTTTCTGGAAAGAGCACTGTGGCAACGGTAAAGACTGCACTGACGAGGGACGAGACTGGGCCTGCAAAAGCTCAGCTGGAAACAGAGGAGCAACGGTGCTCAAACTACCGACTGCAGCGCGTGGGCAGAACAAGAGTCTTTGACCTTTTCTGTCCCCGTGTTTCCCTGGGATAAAAGAGCTCAATGATAAAGTACTAGAGCAAAACACACGGATCCTTTGCTGTAATTCCTTTATACAAGAACTAGTTCACATAAATGCCTGTACTGTATTTTTACTCAAATAATGGACACTATGTTTTTTCACACTGTGCAAACCCCACACATTATTTTATTAAGTGTACAATACCAACTTTTAAAAAACTTGCTGCTGACTTAAATGTCAGGGTTTTTTCCTCTATCCTAGGCATTTGACATTAAATCTTCATCTTGAAGCCTGACACAAAGGTTTGGTTCCCAGCAGCAGACCCTCACCAGGCTACCCTCAAGTCTCGCTACCTGCTCTGCAAACTGCTTTCCTCAATTCAGGAAGAAGTCAATTTTTCTGTCCTGGAAACAGCCATCAGCAGATGGCCAGCCTCAACTCAAAGAGACGTAGGCTGGCACATCCCAGGCCAGGGAAGCCACTCAGGTGGGCGAGGCTGGGGCACCACTGCCACCTTGCACATTCTGCCCCTCCGTCTGGCTGGCTGGCCATGGCACTCAGACTGAGTCTCCCTCCTGCATGGACACCACAGGGTGAGAATGAGAACCACAGAGGGGTGCAGAGGGGTTGCCTGTCCCTCGTTTGGACGAGGCAGGTCAGACCAGCCATTTAGGGGCCGCCTTGGGACCTGGGTGCATGCGGGCAACAGTCCCCATCTGCTGCAGGACCAGCCTGTGCTTGGGCTGTGGCAACCCCTCGCTGCACACCCCTCTGCTGTCTCCAGTGCAATGCAGTGGGACGATCGGCTATGAGGAACACCATCACTCAGGCGCAGCTGCAAACTGCCCCAAGGCAAATGGAGAGCTTCCACGGTTTATCTTCCAATTACCAGAATACTACCAAACTTGATCCATAATTTCTCGACCCAACAGTTTATACCCTTAATATACCAATATGATCAAGAGCAACGCTGTTTGGATGATTGAATGACAGTGAATGAGGCTGAACTTCACTTCTGGAAATGGAACAAGATGCAAGCAGTACATGCACAGCACACTACGCCAGAAATTTTTTTACAGAGTTTTGTCCCTTCCAGCCATCATGTGAGTGCATGTTATTCATGTGCATGTGCTATTGGTGGGGAGAAAAATATTCGTAATCTTTAAAAATCACCAGGAAATTTTCCTTCACTCACGCAACCTAGCAATCAAAAAGTCCGACAGAGTGAGGCTTAGAAGCAAGAGCCTGGAGTCTCAGCAACCTGCCCGACCGAGTCCGGTACTCAGTGCAACATCAGGCAAGCTACCGACTCCAGGAGCAGGGCTTTGTGCTACCGTGACATATAAACAAAACCCAAAAAAGATGTGCGACTATCAACACCACATACCTTCTGCGACTTCTCAGCTACCATGAGGACCAGATCAAAGTCATAGGTCCCAAGAGAATGATCATATAATTCATGAACATCCACCAGCAGCAGCAGGTACCTGAGGGCCTCTTCTGCACTCACAGCTTCAGGAACAGATGGAGCACTGGCTGTCAGTGGCAAGGAAACAAAACAGAAATTTGAGGACAAACCCCACACACCCAGCAACATAAGAACAAGACAGATTTTCTTGGCAGAATGGGACACTGAATGAGTATGGATTTTTCATTCTTTTGTACACTTTGCAGGGTAGCACTCAAAACAAGTCTCCTAGTAAAATGGTGGCAAAAAAGGCCGTATGTTCAATCTGCGATGTGGTAATGGCATGGCAGCAGAAACAGTCCTGGTCAATGTGATCCCCAAAAGACCAGATGTGGCAGTTAAGTTTGTGTGTCAACTTGGCTGGGCCTGGCTGAGTGGCTGGGCAGCCGTAAGTTATTCCCCATGGTGACATTCTACTGGAGCAGCAGAGTAGCCGCTTTAGGGATGTGGTCTGCTTCCCATATACAACAAACAGCTTTGGGAATGGTCTCTAGCTGATGGCACACTGGAACCCTGCGTGTAGCCAAGACATTGTTCAGCCGCCTGCCATGCCCTGCCGATCCTGGGACTTCCTCTGGAGTTGAATTAGTGGCCTGCCATGTTGCTTGGTAATATTGGGACTGTGCCTTTTTACTTGTCAACCCTGGGCTTGTCAGCCTCAGCAGCCAGCAGCTGTCTGAGTGAAGAAAAGCCTCCAGCTTCAGTGGGCTGGGAGCAGGAGGCAGAGCTGAACTCCAAGATTGAGCCCCTAGAGCCTGGCACTTTGAACTCAGACTTAAAGCCTCCAAACTGTAAGAGAATAAACTCCTATTCACTAAAGCCACCCCATTTGTGGTATTTTGTTAGAGCAGCACAGAGGTAACCAAAAGGCCGGAATAGTGGTGAGGGTTGCGGTCACTCTTCAGCACACTTTGGAGGGTCTTCACCTTGAAGCTCGTGGACCTTCTGCAGCACAGCTTCCAGTTCTGGGGTTGTCTTCTTCACATGAGCAGTGAGAATGGACAGGCAGTACCTGCGGCCGTGAGAGAAACACACCAGCGTGACAAAGGTGAGTGAGCTCAATGAGGGTAACTGCACATCTGTCACCCACAAGATGTCCCCTGACGACAGCACACGTACTTGTGAGGATTTATGCTCTCCATGGCTGCTCTCAGCGTGTCACAGATAAGGTCTACATTTTTCCCATCAGGATCCCTAGGCAGCTGGACACTGCTGTTACCTGGCGGAGGATACATGGTCTTTGTAACATCTTCTTCCCTAAGAACAAGCGCGTATTAAAAAGTCAGTAATTGAACATATGCTGCAGTTATCAAACTACTAACATACACCTAGGAGTACCAAAGAGACAGTACAAATGGCTGCTGGAAACACCAGTTAAACACAGAATACTCATATAGGGTGGGAAAGTGAGAAGTTTATGACTATCTTTTAATTCTCAATCTCAGTGCTTAGCAGTTCATCATACAAAAGAGGACTCATGCAAAATGTACTGAATCCTAAGTAATAAAAATTTCATCGATCAGTTGTCAAATTCTGCTATTTTACTTGCATTCTTAAAAATCACTTCAGTTTAGAAAAAGTTTGGGAGTTTTTTATAAACCTAAACTTACAGCAACCTATGACCAAGCAATTCCATTGCCAGGTATGCATCCAAGAGAAATGAAAGCATGTTGACCAAAACCTTGTACAAGAACACCCAGAGAGAGGAAATGGGAGAGGAGCTGTTGCATTGTGGTAAACTGTGGTCAATGACATGAGACAAAGTATATGTGAACTGCTGTATGGAAAGTGAATTTGCTCTGTAAATCTTCACCCAAATCACAATAAAAAATTTAAAAAAAAGAACACCCAGAGAGATCTGACTCATATTAATCCCAAAGGAGTATAGTCCAGGTATCATGGATTGAATCGTGTTCCCAAAAAACGATGCGTCAACTAGGTTGGGCCATGATTCTCAGTGATTTGGCAATTACATAATGACCCCCCATGACGATGAACCAATGTGATCAGGGTGGGATGCAACACCCTTAATCCCACCACAGCTCTGATCTAAAGTAAGGGGGTTTCCCTGGTGGGGCCTTTCATCTTACAAGAGATAAAAGGAGAGAGAATCCCACAAACAGAGAGGGGCCTACTCTATCCTGTGGCCCCAGGGCCCCTGAGCTAGGATCGTCCTAGGACCAAGAGACACAGAGAGAGAAGGCCTTGTCCTAGAGCCAGTGCTCTGAATCTGTCCTTGCAGCCTCCTAAACTGAGAGAGAATCAATTCTGTTTGCTAAAGCCATCCACTTGTGGTGTTTCTGTCACAGCAACACTAGAGAACTATGACACCAGGGGTCCATCAACAGGGCGCTGAGGAAACAAACTGTGTGAATAAACAATCTGTATCAATGGCACATCACTGAGCGAAACAGAATGAACCAGTGATACATGCACCAACATGATTCTCAAACCCTTACACTCAGGGACAGCAGCCTTGTTTGCACAGAAGAGTAAACACTGTATGACTCCAACTATATGAAGTTCTAGAAGACACAAAACTCATCCATGGTGAAAAACTCAGCACAGTAGCTGCCTATGGTGGGGACAGGGACTGACTGAGAAAGGATCAGAAACATTGTGAGGTGAAGGAAATGTTCTCTATCTTGAGAGGGTTTGGGTCACATGGCATTAGTATTTGTCAAAACTCAATGACTAGTACACTTATGACTCGTACATTTCATTTTAGAGAAACTTTACCTCAAAAACAAAAACCCCATACACCAAGAACGTAATCTAGTTCATGCTACACAAGGTGAGGTACTGAAAGGTGAAAAGCAGACTCATGCCTACAGCTTGGTTAGAAAGGCACCTATAAACAAGATGGACGGATGGATGGGCCGATGGCAGACAGTGACAGAGCAAACAGCAGAACACGAGCTGTGGGATCCGGCTGCTGGGTATAGGATGCTCTCTGTACAACTGCCTCAACTTTTCTTTACAAATGTCATTAAGAAGTTGGAAAATAATCATGTCAGAGAGAGACTCCATTTGATTTCAATCTCCCAAGAAAAACAAAGTTTTAAAAAAAGCAAAGCTTCACCTATATACCTAAAAATCAAATAACCAAATAATTAATTTTGAATGACATGTTTTAATTAAAGTCAGAGGGGAAAGGAAAAACTAGTACATTTGGTATCTAAGCATTGTATTAAGAAGAAATACACTGAAAAGCCTAAGTCATCTTTCTTCTCTAGCAGTGTATCTGTTTGACTTCTTTAACCAGAGAAAAAGAAAACCAGTGCTATTATACTCATTAACAATTCCAAATACTTACTTCAGTTCTGTGAAAAACAGATTAATGTAATTTACAGAGTCTAACTGCTTCACGAATGTTTCCACGTTCTCGAGAAACACCTACTCAAAAAAGGGAGAAACACTTGAGTTCGGATCACATCAGTACAAGCCCGAGTGAGCTCGAGTAAAGCCCCATTGAGAAAGTCACCTGAGGGTTGTGGTCATGAAGCAGGTTGAGGTTAATTCTTAATTTTCTCATGCACTCAAATGCTTCTTTAAACATAAGTCTGTGGGAAGACAATGTTTCCATTATTATGCAAACCAGTTACAATCAGACCATAGCCAAAATGCCAAAAACCTACTTCTGGATTTCTTAATCATTTGATTAATTATAAACCTCATGCAGCTTCTTAAAAGTCGTGATGTCATCATGGCAGTCTGATGATGACAACCCCAGCTACTCAAAACAGAACGTCACTGAGTTTTTTAAGAAAATAATAATAACCATCTTTTTAATACAAAGTATTCCCAAAACAGATTCCGACAATGGATCATTTTCTTTGTCACAGCCACTCAACTTTTTGACAGAGTTCTCTGTAAATCTGCTTGGTGTACAAAGATGGTTCCCGAGCCATCTCAAGCCCACGTGGACCCCTTTGGGTCCCTCTAGGAAGCCCTGTTCTGTATGATGAGCATCATGATTCTTTCCGCTTATAATGTCTACTACCCCACAGAGTTAAAAAATCAGAGCATGGAGGGGAACACCCTACGAGAATCGGGCTCTTCATTAAGTATGTGAGGAAGGTCTCAGACTTTCAAGCTTTTAACACTCTAACAAAAACACTGTCATTACATGGAAGTCCTAACAAGCTAACCAGTCCCAGAAATGGGCACTTACTTGTCCAACCACTTCCGAATCTGAGCTAAGACCAGGGCTCGATGGTGAACAACTTCTAAATTTCCTCTTGGCATCTTAAAATAAATAAATACATAACAAACTTTCTATTTTTCATTAAACAGAAAAAGCTTCAATACCAAAATACGCAGTTTTACCCCTAACTCTTCCTAAAGAACTACCGCAAAGCTGTAAAAGAGAGAAGCCTTTCAGTTGTATTTAGCTATGCTCAGGACTTTTTGACTTTTAAGAGAAATTTCTTTTTTTAGCCTTACTGGGCTAACATTCTTCCGTACCAAGTTAACAGAGAATCCAGCACAGAAAGGCTGACAGTAAACGATTAGGAACAATTACAGAGCCTTCAATATAATCTGCAGGAATTCCACCTGATAGTGGCTGCCTGATGATCCTCAGGATGACAGCCTGACAAATCAGCTTACCTGCAGTATAAGCTTTGTGTCCTGGGGCACAACGGTGACAATCCGGGAACCCCTTTCCACCTTCCGCAGCGTCTCTTCGTTAGACAGGCTGCTGCTGCTCAGCCCTGCCTGCAATGCTGAAGTCACCACACTGACTGAGCCCTTAGGAATCAAACTCATGACAAGCCTCTGTGCGTCAGCTACAGCTGAACCGCACACATTACCCAGAACAGAGCGGAGCCGTCTCACTCAGCCTCAGCCTCTGCACACGCAGTCTCTCCACTAAACCACCCCACCCCTGGGACTCGCTCTCCCTCAGTCCTCACGCACACTCACATACACAACTTCTCAAACGATGTGGGAAAACACAGGGAGGTGTGGGCCAGCCTCTCCATTTCTTAGCATATCAGAGCACTATAACCCCGTCAGTAAAAGAAAGCTTTCCAGTTTCCAAGGTACAAACAAGGAAAATAAGTGGGCTTCTTCAGAATAAGGCAGACATACATACACATACATAGAAGGGACTGTGAAAGAGGGCAAAAAAAAAAAACACGGAGCCAATTCCCTACAGCTGCTGGCCCTAGAGGGGTGGCCACAGTGAGGAAAGGGGGATTATACAGAAGTTAAAGCACACTGCCAGTATGGTACATCCAAGCATCATCCAAGTAAAAGAGCAGGTGAGTTACACAGTAAAATGCCCTGTTTAACTTTAGCATGTGCTGTTAAGAGAGCACTGCTTTCTCTACAAGTCTTTGTTAACTGACATAGACTGATTTAACTGAGACAGGATATTGAGATTAGGAGCACTTAGCCCTATCTTAGTACCCCAAAGGTTTTTTCCACTTCTAGGACTTAATGTAATAAGCCAAAGTAGGTTAAAACAAAACAAAACAAAACAAAATAAAAAACCCTAAAAGTCAAAGGACAAAAGATTGGAAGAGAAACCATTTCTATGTTATATGCTAAAAACTTACTTTTAAATGAGGCGTCTCTCAGGTACAAACACTGGCAGGTGTGCGAATGGGTTGTCAACAATAAAAATTCATCAGATACAGCAAATGATGTAATATTTGATGCAACCTGCACCAAGACAAGAGAGGTAAGGGGGAACTGAGCAATACTGCTCAGAGGAAACACTGTGAAAAGGATACAGCACCACCCCAAGCTTTCATACCTCAATGTCATTGATGAAAAAACGACACCGGTCAGTCAGACCAAGGACACATTCCTACAGAGAAACAAAACGGGAATTACAAATAATTCTAATTCAAATTAGTTAAACCTAACATTTCTAATAATTAATTTTACTGCCCCATGATTTCACATCTAGGTCCTAGTCATCAGGACTGGATACAGACACATAAGACGCTGTTGATCCAATGCAGAATGGATTACCCTGTCACCCAATCCACCAGGAAGTCCCATCATTTCTACCTCCTGTGTACATCTCAAATACATCCTCTTCCCCACCCTCACCATCTCCACTCCAACAGTCTTTCTGCCGGTTCCCCCTTCCGCTCGCGCCTAGTCCAACTCCCCACGGACACCCAGAATCACCTTTCCAACTACAAAGTAGACCTTGTTTCTCCACTGATGAAAAATCAGTAACTTTCTAAGTCTCTTAAAATAATACAGCCTGTCACTCCAACTACACTGCCTCCTTTCATCCCTTGAATAAGCTGAGCCCTTTCCAAGCTTGAGGTATTTATCATTTGTTCTTCCTGGAATATTTTTCCTTTCTCAGGAACAGATCCTTCTCTTTCCTCACATCTCAGCACACACAACCACGTGAACAAACCATTGTAAGTAGTCTCCCCATGGCTACCCTCCTGTAGGTACTCCCTACACACCTCACAATTCTCTGCCATTATACCCTGTTCATTTCCTTCTCGCTTATCAAAGGGGTAATCCTCGATATGGGTAGATTTTAAGTCCCAGACTAGCAGGGATGTCAGATGTTTTGTTTTAAAATCATAGTATCCTACCACCCACCACAATTACAGACATTCCAGTATTTGTTGGATGATATCCTACTGGGTATCAGTTTTGAGATTTTACTTCTGTTGTCCTCAAAAGATACTCAATAAACCAACTTTGTATTTTCTGTACAACTGTAAAGGTTGACAACTGCAGTTTCCTATTTTTGAACCTATACTGCCAAGGAAAGGAAGAAACTAGCCACTACATTCCAGGCAATCCCTCAATCACATTCATTATCTCATTTAGTTTTCCTCCAAATCCTGGGACCCAGGTACCAATCCCATTTTACAGATGAAGATGAGGCTCAGGAAAGGAAAAGGCCTTGGGTTTAGTGTCATCTTTCCACCTAATGCCATCAGCCCCCGGGTAACTGCTTAAGCGGTGAATTTTCCTGCCCTGGGTCCACTTACCTCTCCTGCAATCATGGTCAATTCTGTCTGCACACAGGGGTAAGGAAACCGGATGGGAACTCCCTCAGGGTTCTTCCATGGTTCAGCAGCCAGAGAAGGTGACTCTGCAGGATTGACAGATATGATTTCCAGAGAGCTGGTCTGCTCTTTGTAAAGAACCATTAACACCAGCACTTGCTAAAACACATAATGTGCAATTTTGATCAATTTCCAAATGTGGTATGGAAAGTCACTTGGCTATTTCAGTTCATTACAAGGGAAGATAGGGTCAGAGGCACCTTGCCCACTTTACAGCTTAGGGTTTCCTAGGGTAGCGACAAGACTTGACAGGCAACACTGCACTGACAAGATGCTCACAAGGCCATGTTCTTGAGAACCAGACATCTGTGTAAGGCGTAAAGATGCATCCCAAACACTGATACTCACCCCAAAAGTACTTAAATATCTGGCCATCAGCCAGCTGCAGGGCTACTGACTTGGTCTTGGAATTGTAACATAGGCTGATTATAACCCCATCCATCGTCACAGATGAGCTGACCCAAAAAAAAAAAAAAAAAAGGGGGGGGGGGAGCTTGTGAATAGACCATTTTTCTCAGAAGTAGTGACATTTCACTGATTTTGCAAAACAGTAAAAGAAAGAGTTTTCCTTTGGTACTGGCCTGCCTATTTCAATATAATATATACATTTATATACACACATCACTCCGGTGCCTTCATTAGACATGGATGGTACCAACATTATTTGTGTCTTCCTTATTTCTGGGGACCTTCATTAATGGGAGCTCTGGTGGTGGTGTGCCTAAGTCATCTGACTGCTAACCAGAAGGCTGGTGGTTCAAACCCACCAGCCACTCCTCAGGAGGTAGACTGGGCAATCTACTTCCATAGAGATACCACTTCAGAAACCCAAGGAGGGGTCGCTATGAATCAGATCTGACTCCAACGCAGTGAGTTTTGAGGTCATTAATAGGAAGAAGGGAATCTGTTACTGCCACTCCATCCTTTCCTGAGCCAATGGGCAGGGAGAATAAAAATGTCTCAAAGGAAGAGAATGAGGCCACGATGGGGGCACACGATATGGATGGCAACATCTAATTCAGAGTTTTAATATACCAACCAAAAAAAACAAAAACGTTTACTTTTTCTATAAACGTTACAAATTCTGTGAGTATGCAATTATCTGAGATGAGGTTAAGAAGCGACTCTGCCGCCAGCCAGGCTGGCTGGGACTGGACCCTGCTCCACCGGGCTGGTCTTGGGCGAGTTCCTTATCTGCTCTGAGCCTTTGTGGGCTCCTCTGTCAAATGAAGGTGCTAACAGCACACACCTCAAAGAGACACTGAGAAATGGCTACTGCACGTTAAACAAGCCCAGGACCACAAGCTACAGTTGGTGCAAGCTCACGGCTCACGGCAAGCATGCTAACTGCCGTGCACTGAGGGACCTTAACTCTTCAAAGACAGTGGTTTGTGGTAACAAAGTAGTCTTTTGAGACAGTGATGAGGTTAGTAGTAATTTCAAGCCAAAGCAGCAGAAATATATTTAAATAACCTTCCTCCCTTGATTTGGAACAAATAAGATGACTGCATCTAGCTTTTCCTTCTAGAGCTAATGAGAAAGAATTTCAGAATTAAATAAATAGAACTGCATAATTTCAGCATTTCTTATGTAAATTAAGCATTGGGCTGCGAACCAAAAGGTCGGTGGTTTGAATCCACCAGCTGTTCTGTGGGAGAAAAATGAGGCAGTCTACTTCCATAAAGATTTACAGTCATAGAAAAACCCTACAGGCAGCTCTAGTCCATCCTACAGGGTCACTATGAGTAGGAATTGACTCAATGGCAGGGGGTTCAGTGGTATTTATATAAATTGCTCTGCTTTTCAAAACGTAAACCCCTATTAACTCTGAGGGTTTCATGTATCTAAACCATATTCTGTATCCAGATATATTTACAGAAAACGTTTTCTAAGTATCATGAAGCAGCAATATGAGTCGAAGATTAGGTGGGAATGACTGCCTTTTAGTATGTTTTATGGAGACAGTAAGTGAAGGTTCCTCATTTTGATGGACTTACAGAACATAAACCTAACCAATAGGGCTTTGACTGAGAAAGAGCCTAGGAATCACTATCCGTGTAAGTCTCAGGCGCTGAGTCATGACGGCAGACTGCGGAGTTCTGAGAGTTGGCCACAGAAAATGCTACCTACTCTATGACAGGCATTGCACTACGGAGAGGATCCACTCAACTCAAACTTGCATCACGTCAGGCATCAGAACACAAACTCGAGTCCAGGACGAAGAAAAAGGTGAGGAGACTACCTAGTAGCAGACACAGTGAAGTGCCAAGCAGGATGGCAGAGAAGTGAGAAGGCGCAAAGCAGCTACGTCACCGCAGCAAAAGGAAGCGATCGACAGTGAATTTCTTCCCACGGCGTTAGCTCATGACAGTGAGTCACTCTAATTACCCTTGGAATCACTGAAATCAGTTCCAAGCCTAAAAATACATCTGCCAGAATGTGTGGATATATGGAACTGAAACATTTAGCAAATCTCAAAAAATGTTTTACCTCAACTCCTAGAATTTGTCCTATTTCTCACCACTCTCTGCTACATTTTTAGTCTTATCGACATGACTCGAGGCTAGACTCAACTCAACCCTCTTACTGAGCTAACAAGAAAGCTCCCTCTCCTGAACCCTGCTCACCCACCAGAGACGGAAGCACAAGTCCGGCTGTTCCCGAACCTGTGGCCCAGAGGGAAGCACTGCTGTACCTGACACTGAGCTGTCCTTGTTCCCCATCCATCTCAGAAGGGGCCACAGTCAAATGGTGAAGGGTGGACTGGGGGCTGCACGGACTGTGGCTGACGGCCAGGAAGACCCCTTCTTGAATCCAGGTGAGCAGGCAGAGCTTCAGCGGGTTCACTTCTTGATCTTCAATATTCTCAAACTGAATTCTGTTAGAAACATTGAAGTATATAAAAGACATGAGCAAAACTATAAAAGCACTGAGATTTCCTGAAAGAATGAGCACCTCACAGAATGTTTTATGGAGACAGTAAGTGGTCAACTCCCAGTTATCTGGAGAGACAAAACCTGACAAAATGCCAAATATCAGAAATTCTAAAAACTGTACACTTCACTTAAGAATGTTTTTGTATTTACTTGTAAGTGAGTTTCTTCTACAATGAGGTGTCTAGAATTAAATAGAACACTTCAAGACACTGACTTCCCAAGGAAGTTCCCGCCCCAGTCCCTACACTAACCCAGAGCCTTTCCATCTTCGTCATTTACCACCATCATCACCACTTACCAACATTCAAACCAGACTCCCTCAGATCTCGATCTCAATAGAACGGGCTCTTTTCTAAGCACCTCAAATCAAAATGACGAATTAGGGTGAAAGAGGGTCTCCCTGCCTTGAGCACCTACCTTCTGTGGCATTTATCCATCTGCCCAGGGCACAGTTTCTGTCACTTCACTTAGGAACCCAAATGGCTGCTTCCTGTCTTTTAGATAAAATGGCAAATCCTCAGCTCCTGCTGAAGCAGCTTGACCACCAGCCTGACCTTCCCACTCAACCAGCTCTCACCAGACTCAGTGTCTGCAGTCCACTCGCCCAGCGCCTGCTTACCACTGCAGGTCACTCCATCTCCGGCTGTCACTGACACGCTCCTCCCCACCACAGCCAGTATTTTCAATATTTCTCTGCCAATCCCATATCCAAGCCTTCTTCAAGGATCAGCATAAATACACATCTCCTTCATCAACCCTTCACTGAATGGCTTGAAGTTACGCTTCCATCAAATTGAAAAAAAAA